CCCCTGCTGGCCTGATCGCCCACAACTGCCCTCCCCTGTCGGCCATCTTGTGGCGACCACCTTGTGACATTGTGCGATGCCCCCTAGGCTTTTATTATATAGGAGAGTACTCTACCCCTCTTCTTTTTAAAAATTCAAGTTAATTTAATCAATAAGTTTAAGGTTATTTTGTTGGATGTTGTATTACAAATAAGCAAGAAGAGGCTAGATGAGCTTTAAGCTTACTATTATTGTTTGGCAAAAGCTTTTCTGATGTTAAAAAAAAGTTGAAAGTAAATAAAAACATACTGACCGCTGGTGGACTTTTACTCTTCTCAATATAGGTGAAAAGTTCATATAGAACCACTCCAAAGCTCCAAACATCTGAGGCCACAGAAAACTTGCTCTCTGTCAGTGATTCTGGAGCATACCTGTGAAATAGGGAAGCATTTAAAAGGCGGTTACTTGATGTGTCAACTCTTGTTTGTAGCTGCAAACCAATTGGATTAAAAATTAAAAAAAGCAAGATGTACAGGAAAGAGTTAACATAGCAGGCTTGAGGCTGTCATCCTAAAAAAGGCCTGCTTGCAATATTGACACTTGACTGGTACCGGGAACTTAGATTTCAGGAGTGTTTCCACAATTCCCTAAATGATAAGAGGGGCTCACTCTGCCTAAAATGTTTCTGCAAACTACATGGTTTGTGCTGAATGCCTACTTTCCCTCTAGGAGTCTGAAATTGTGGTACATACCAGGCAGAGGGTGCTTATGTGTCCAGTCCCAACACAAACCTTGGGCACTGTGTTGTCACAATTACTGCTGGGAAAAGGAAGTGTGTCCCACATGACTTTACTGAGAGAGGACCTTCGAAGACTGTGCTTGATTTCCTCCAGCTTTGGCCCAGACTCCTTTCCCCTTTGCTGATTTGCTTTGTGTCCTTTCCCTGTAAGGAATCATAGCTACGAATATGGCTGTATGCTGAGTGCTATGAATCCTCCTAGTGAATATCAAATCTGAGAGTGTTCTTAGGAACCTCCAAATACACAAAGTTAACTCAAAACAAACAAACAAACAAACCATTTTTGTCTCTATAGGAAACACCAGGGTTAACTGCAAAGTACCATAGACAGAAAACGTTGCTTCTAAACTGGAGCAAGACTTGAAGCTATTAACATATACGTAAAAGAAAAAACCTGCTCATCCCAAGGAAGTGATTTTTGTAAAGTAGCACAGAAAATTAGAAAGTCCGGGAGAAATGGTGTGACTATCTACTTAAGTATCAACACTAACCAAGGGAGAATTTTGGCTAATGGACTGTGAATATCCTGGTAACATTGCTAAGTTTATCCTTATTATAGAGAGTGATAACAGAGATGTTTAAGATTGATGAGATTTAAAATATAAATTACAAAAATTTAATCTCTTCTTTAAAATATACTCACTTCCATAAATCCTTCTCTGACTACTCAAGGTTTTTATGACCCAATGCTACTGAATTTCTATAATACTTGTAGCCTATGCCACACAATTAACTATGCAATGCTATATTAATTTTATATTTCGTTTTTAAAAACACTTAACATAGTTATACTTTTAAATAAATGTTAGCTTTAGCCCACAAATGGAACATAACATCCCTGAAGACAGTGCTACTCCCCCAACCACTGTAAACTATTCTCATCCTTCGGTTATCCTGAAAGCACTCCTGTAATCGCCTCCTCACTCCTCCCTCCCCCAGTCTGCAAGGCTACTCCCAATCTCCCATCACTACTGTAAGAATAAATACAAATCAAAAATATAATTCTCCTTGTTGAAAATGAGGAAAATGACTCTTCCCCCTCTTTCCTTAAAGCATTTATTTCAGAAAACTTACCATTGTAAATTCTTTATCTCTTTCAAATGTAAGTAAGTATTTTTTAAAGCTTTTGCTCAAATGCCTCTTGCCAGCTTTACGATATGTTTTTCTCAAGAACCCGGGAACCATCTCTTTGTAATATAATCATCAAGGAAGTCAGCACCCCTATTTCTCAGTTTCTGTGAGAGGGTAGGTACCTGACTTCAGCAGATTCCTCCTTCCAAGTTACAAAATTATCTCTTGTCATAAGTTATAGTTTATTTTTCCTTTGGTAAAGCCAATTAGCTAATACCTGGTGACTTCAATTACCCAGTGAATTTAGGATGAACCATGTGTGACAAATGTGATGTCAAGTCCTCTCACTTGGGGACTAGTTACTGTTTATCATGAGAAAATGTATGTAATGGATTGAATTTGCTTGGCCATAAGAAAGAATAAGATTTCTTTCTCTCTTTGCAATCTATAAGCAGATTGCTTTTGATGCACAATACCTTCTGGATTAATGCTTACTCAGTAATAAAACTGTTTTCTTTCTAGCTTCTCCCTGCTGTTAGCCTCACCTTAATGTACCCTCTAAACCAGTTCTCCAACCATTAGATCAAAGGCTCCTATACACTCTTAAAAATTACTGAAAAAAAGCTGAAATTACTATAAAAAGAATGCTTCTGTGAGAAGAGTAGCATTGTTTTACATTTTTAAAGTTTCTTTACTGTTTGGTTTAACAGAGAGTATAAGAGTATAACCTATGGAAAATTCCACTATCTATTCATGAAAAAAGGAGAGTGAAAAAAGCACATGACATCTTAGTATTAGTATTAAAATAACTTTTGATAACAGACTCCCTAAAGGGGGTACAAGGGGTCCCCATACTTTGAGAACTGATATTCTGCACCAAAAGTAGAGGTGGGGGGGGGGAGTAAATTCATATTCCTAAAATATGACTCTTACAATGTTATTCCCTGGGTAAAGCCTCTACATCTTTCACATACACAATGTTTACTAAATAAAGGCTGATCTCTTTAACATGTTGTACAGGGCTCAATATCATTCTAGCCCCAATTACTCCCTGTTTGCTCTGCAATTATGCCATTCACTTACAAGCCCTCATCCTCTTGTTCTTATCCTCTTCTTATGGTAAACTTAAAAAAAATTAAGTAATACTTTCTTTTCTTTCTATTAAAATATAGTGACATATAATATTATATGAGTTTCAGGTATACAACATAGTTATTCAACATTTACATAGCTTATGAGGTGATCATAGTGATAAATCTAGTAACCATCTGTCACCATACAAAGTTATTATAATACCACTGACTATCTTCCTTGTACTGTACATTATACCCCTGTGACTTATTTTATAACTGGAAGTTTGTACTACTTATTCCCTTTCACCATTTTCATCCATCTCCCTAGGACACCTCCAACACCTCTAGGGTACCATGCTAAGTGAAATAAGTCAGACAGAAAAAGACAAATACCAAATGATTTCACTTGATATAATATGTGGAAACTAAAAAACCTTGACCTTCAGCAAGCTCTTTACCCTGTCTACAATTCAGTTCCTTCATGCTTAAAATGAGATATTAATACATATTCTCCAAGGATTCTTATGAGGATTAAATGAGATAATCCATGACACGCATGTAAGCCCAAAGCAAGTACATGAGAAATTTTTGCTACTATTATCCTATATAATAAAAGGTTAATATGCAAATCGTCCCCTTGACCGGGAGTTCAACCAGGGGGCAGGGCCGGCCCACCAACTGACCGCAACCCCTCCCCTTGGCCAGCCCCGCCCAATTGCCCCCCTGACCCCGATCGGGGCGGGACAGCTGGACCCCACCTGTGCACGAATTCATACACCAGGCCTCTAGTAAATATATAAATGACAAACTATTAATAATAGTAAAATTAAAGTTTTAAGTTTATGCTCTAAATTTCCATTTTATTATACTAAAATATACTCACCAGAATATAGGACTTTCACCAGGTTCTTTCACTTTGTAGTATTCTTTGTCTTGTGGCAAGACTTTGGTTAACCCAAAATCTCCAATTTTAACTCTGTTTTCATTCTCTACCAATATATTCCTTGTTGCCAGATCCCTGTGGATATACCTTTTTGTACCAAGATATTCCATACCCTATGGATAAAAATAACATTTTTTCTTTCAGCCAGTTTTGTAAACATAATCAATTTCAATGGTCTTGCCTATTTATAGTCCCTTAATTATCTAAGATAAACTAGAGAATTTCTTAACAATTACCTCAACACGTTCACTTCATCTACAACTAATAACCAGAATATTAGGTACCTTGCATATTTGAGATGTATATTGCAGAAGTTTCTTATGATCTATTCGTTCTTTATGCTTTTGGAGATAGTCTCGTAAACTTCCATATGGTAAATATTCCATAATTAATCTTAGATTACGTCGGCCTTTTAAAACACAAATGGGAACATAATGTTATGCTTTGCCATATTTTACTGATGAAATATTAAAAAACAACCATACATAAATGACTTAAAGATATATAAAATCTGAGTCTAAGATGACAGAATTTGTTCGTAAATAAAGGTGAAATAGTAAAGAACACAGGCTTTTTGAATCAAAAAGTTTTAAAAAGCTTTAAAATAGTTGTTTTAGTCTTCTGTAATGCAAATCAAAATAAGCTGAGAAAACTTCCATCTCCTCATTTTGTACTGAACAAAAAGCATCAAATTTAAATATTTTATTTTTTTTATTTTTATTTTTTAAATATATTTTATTGATTTTTTACAGAGAGGAAGGGAGAGAGATAGAGAGCTAGAAACATCGATGAGAGAGAAACATCGATCAGCTGCCTCCTGCACACCTCCTACTGGGGATGTGCCCGCAACCCAGGTACATGCCCTTGACCGGAATCGAACCTGGGACCTTTCAGAAAACTTCCTTCTCATTTTGTACTGAACAAAAAGCATCAAATTTAAATATATTTTTAAAGAAAATATGAGCAAAGACAATTTCTTTCTTTGAAAATGACATTTGCTTAATAAGCATAAGCAAGGGTGATAACAAACATTTTCAGTGAAGAGAATGATTAACCGACTAGTCTGAGATTTCCTGTAGTTACAGTCCACCGTCACCAAGCAGTCTTCCGTCTTCTCTCTCTGGGCACTGTTATAAGTCCACATCTTGACACAGTATGTTTCTATTATGCAGGATGCCAACAACATAGCTTGAGTTCAAAATAGGTTTCAATGGCCACATACCAGCACTGTAGCACACTCCCTTGTACTTTACAATGTTGTCATGCTGCAGGGATTTAAGGATTTCAATTTCCCTTTCAAAGTCTCTGAGGTGCTCTTCAGTACTGTGCTGGAGCTTTTTCACGGCCACCACCTCCCCAGTGTTGTCTTGTAGAGGGTCATACCGGCACATCTCAACACTCCCAAAGTTACCCTGAACAATACAACACATCAGGACAGAAATCTCAAATTTTCCACACAAACACTAACAAATTCTAATTACATTAGCAATTCCAACAATCAGAATTAACACACATCCCTAAGCTTAGATTAGGTAACTTTCCAGACAAAAAAGAAAATAGTAATTCCACAGGTGGGTAGTAAACATATATATTTAATTTATTCAAAAGGAATTAAAAGCTGAAATATAAACAACTTCCAAAAAGCTTTTAGACACAAATCATGAACATTAATTATTAAGACAACCCAAGGGACATGCTATCTATCACTATCTTCCAGGAAGAACTTCGCTTTTTCACAATACACCCTTTGGTATCACTGTCAGTGAGCTGAATGGAGTAAGGGTCTATTATGAACTGAATGTGTATGTCTCCCCAAAATTCATGTGATAAAGCCCTTACCCCCCAATGAATGTATTTAGAGACTGGGCCTGTGAAGAGACGATAAAGGATAAATGGGGTCATAAGGGTGAGGCCTTAATCTGATAGAACTGGTGCCTTTAAAAGAAGAAGAAGAGCCCTGACCGGTGTGGCTCAATGCTTAGAGTGTCAGCCAAGCACCAAAGGGTAGAGGTTCAATTCCTGGTCATTGCCATGTACCTGGGTTGCAGGTCTGATCCCTAGCCCCAATCAGGGCATGTACAGGAGGCAACCAGTTGATGTATCTCTCACATAGATATTTCTCTCTCTTTCTCCTCCTCCCTCATTCCCTTTCACTCTCTCTAAAAATCAATGGAAAAAATCTCAGGTGAGGATTAACATAAAAAAAGAAGAAGAAGAAGAGGAAGAGACACTACAGCTCTCTGTCAATAAGGTGGCCAAATGAGGACCACTAAGAGAGCCCTCACCAGTAACCAAACCCTTTCAGAACCTTGATTTCAGACTTTCCAGCCTCTGGAACTATCAGAAATAAATATCTGATGGTAAAGCCACTATGGTATTTTTTTATGTCAGCCTAAGCAGATTAGTACACAGTCTGTATTATTTGCCCAAGAAAGTAAATTTTTAGCCTAAGGGGATGTTCCCACTTTTTTGTTTTTAAGGTGAGTCATTAAAGAAACCTCTTCTCTTTTTATTAAGATTTATTATCTATACAGAGTTGATATATAACATTTACAATTAAGCTTTGGGTATTAATCAAAGAAATATATTTTGGATATTATTGCATTCTTAAAGAACAGAAAACATAGTGTTAAGCTAAAGTTTCTAAGAGACTCTATTTTCAGCTATATTTTTGAAGTCAATTTTTAAAAAAACTTAGACCACATATAAGCTCAAAGTTAAATCTCTAATTACACAGGCCAGACAGCAGTGATGAGATGTCACTACTGAAATTAGGTTATAAAAAGGCCATGGTTTCCACATTGGGTGTTTGCCCTCGCTGCCATGTTGTGAGAATCCTATGGAGAGGCCTGTGTAAGTGAACATAGTCCAGTCAACATCTAGACTCTGAACAATCAGATTATTTCTTCCTCGGATGACTAAAAAAGAGAATATAGTAAACTAGAGACCCACTGATTTGAGTAGAAAAGCTTAATTTAGCCCTGGCTGGTGTGGCTCAGTTGGTTGAAGTGTCCTCTACATCAAAAGGTCACAGGTACCTAGGTTGCACGTTCGTTGTTGTGGTGCATGTGAGAGGCAACCGATGGATGTTTGTCTCTCACATCAATATTTCTCTCTCTCTCTTCCCTTCTCTAAAATCAATAAATACATCCTCAGTTGAAGATTTAAAAGAAGAAGAAGAAGAAGGGCTTAATTGTCCCTTTCTCTATTTCATTAATAAAGCACCCTCTACCAAGAAACAGTCCCATGGTCAAATCAGTTGGGGAAATGTTACCTAATATTTGAAGAGGTTCAATGCATATTACATGTTAAAGATTCTGAAAAGTTCTTCTTAAAGATAACTGTTTAACACAGCACTTCTCCAACATCTGACAACTAAACTTTTTTCTACAAATACTCCTTAAAGTTTTATGAAATGTGAACTTTAGAGAATCTTTAAAGCCTTTTTTTCCTAAATAAAATGTTCTATGGCTATAATTTAACTATTTAAAAAACTTCTTTCATCTTACCTTGCCAAGTTGCTGCAGAAATTTCAAGTGTCTCTCTTCAAACTGAGTAGGGTCTCGGTCTTCAAAAGCTCCAGAAAACCCTAGGGCACCTATCCTCATATTTGGTAACATGTCATTCTCTGTTAACAATTCATAATCTGCAGAAATAAAGAATAATACACCATAATCTGGCAAATAAATTCTCTGGGTTAATATGTATTCAAGCTGACCAAAATAATTAGAATTTAGAAATACTAAACACAGGATAATGTTAATAGTTTAGATTATAATAATGGAGCCTTTACTTATTACCCACAATCTGACAGGCTTTCAAGAAAGATTTTTACAAAGAATAAATAATTACTTTGTAAAATTGGCAGTTTTTATATTTATAAAGAATATATTCTGATTTCTTTGTGAAATTAGTAATACCGGAAAAGGAAATACCTGTAGGTCAGACACATGCATATTTAGCTACATACTTTAAAGGAGTGGACAAAAACAAATCTACTTCATGTTTAGAAAATGAATTATAAAATGTATGAAAACTAGTTTTTAAAAAACAAATAATTATTTTTTAAAAACTCAAATAAGATAAACTTTTATAATATACTGTCATCAAGTAGCATATTAAAATTGGGTAAATGAAGGAGAAAAAGCCTTTTTTTAAATGTAAATATTGCTCAATCAAGGAGTCTAGAATATGTATAAAGTAGGAAAGTCATATGCCCATATGAGATTCTAAAAGACATCAAAGAACTTATTGAGAGGATTACAAAATTAGTAAAGATTTGTTAAATACAAAAAAACCCACAAAAAAACAGAAAGATAGCTGGAGAATCAATAATACATACCTGGAGTAAACAAACTATTAAGATCTCGTATGATGGCTCTGAAAGAAGGTCTAAAATCTGGTTCATAATCCATACAATTATTAATAAGATTTGCTAATTCTGTCCACTTTGGTGCAGGAAGCTGGTGTCTATCTTCATAAAACTGTAGCTTCTATAATTAAAGAACCACACATTGAGAATTGTGTAATGCCTTATCAATCCCTTCTTTTTAAAACCCCTTCTTTTTATATTAAAAAATATAAAATCGTGAAAGAATCATCAAGGATCACAAAATTAATCCAACCCCGCAGTCTAGAACTTACTCTTTGAGAATCCAAAGCACTCAGAGGCTTATCTCCTCCACTGCAGATTTCCCACAAAGTGGTACCAAAACTCCATTTGTCTGTTGCCAAGTTTAAGTTTTTAGGATTTTCAATACATTCAGGTGGTACCCATGGTATTCTCTCCTGAAGAACTTTTAAGTGATAGGAACATAGTATAGTTAAATAGTTCTCACAAGTAAGTAATTCTTTTATATGCAAATCATTTTCAAACTGATTTGAATAATCATTTAATTCAAGATCTCATTTTTAACAATTACAACACTGAGATCCATAAAGACTGAATAATTTGCCCAAAATCACACAATTTTTTATTAGCACTAAGAGAATTAGAACTCTGTACAAAAACTCCTGGATCAACTAAACTTTTTTCCATTAAGTCACCAATTTTAAGCCCATGTGCCGCAAGAATTTTTAAAACCTGCAATACCTGACTACTTAGTCAGGGGCAATGACCTCTTTTCCTTAAACTGTGAAATAAAAAAATTACAACAGCCAACACAACAATAGACATCCAGTGTGAATGCAACAAAATGGATAAAATCTGCACTTCCATACATAATTAGGAATTAAAACTGTTTTTTTTAATTATGTATAAAATAGTAAAGAAAACAAAAATTATTTGACAAAGGTATGAGAAGTACACATCTAAAGCACATCCCAGTATTTAGAGAAATGCAGTAGAGGACAAAGGAAGGACACATTAATTAATACCAAAGAGACAGAGGGTAAAACTGGCTAAGTCCTCCAAAAAATGTCAATTTAGATACATTGCACAACATCAAAATAAACTCCAGTTCAAAGAGCAGAACATGTAAACAAAAAACATAAAATATTTAGAAAAAACATTTAGGTAAATATTTGATCTGTGGATTGGAAAGAATTTTCAAAGTATAAAAGCAATGGAAGAAATCATAAAAAATTATCAATAAATTTTCATATTTAAACAATCTTAAGGTTAAAAAAATTAAAAGGTAAATCAGGATGTAAAGAATTCAACCAAAATGAGAAAAGTTAACCAAATTGTTTCATGAAGAATACACACTGATCGAAAAAAGTTCACTAAGACCCGCAGAGAAAAATGAACAAAAGATGTGCAGAAACAGTGCAGTAAAAAACAAATACATGCCCACTGGTGTGGCTAAGTGGTTGAGCATTGACCTATGAACCAAGAGGTCATGGTTTGATTCCCAGTCAGGGCACATGCCTGGGCTGCAGGCTTGATCCCCACTGTGGGGTGTGCAGGAGGCAGCTGATCAATGGTTCTCTCTCATCATTGATGTTTCTCTCCCTCTGCCTCCCTTCTGAAATCAATAAAAGTATATTTTAAAAATTAAAATAAATAAAATAGAAATATACAATTTATGAAAAATTGTTTAGTGTCATGAATAATCACAGAATAAAGCAAAATAATGAGGTGTGATTTTAATGTATTAAATTAAGAGTTCTCCAATGCTTGAAAGCCCTCTAGGTCACTGAGTACCACTTTTTCAGAGTGCTCCCTGATGGCTTGTATTGAGAGCCTAAAAAATGTTCCCATCTCTTGATCCAGTAATTGCACCGTAGTGATCTACTCTAAGGAAATATTCAGAAATATAGCTAAGATTTTCACATAAATAAATATAAAAATAAAGAATGAATAAAATCTGACCTTTCATACATAATTAGGGATAGCCGGTTTGGCCCAGTGGATAGAGCATTGGCCCAGGGACTGAAGGGTTACAGGTTCGATTCCAGTCAAGGGTACATACTTCGGTTGCAGGCTCAATCCCCGGCCCAGTTGGGGCACATTCGGGAGGCAACCAATCAATGAGTCTCTCTCACATTAATGTTTATTCTCTGTCTATCCCCCTTCCTTCCACTCTCTCTAAAAGTTAATAGAAAAATATCCTTGGGTGAGGATTAACAACAAAATTATCTTTATCTGATGTATCATTCGCAAATACGTTCTTCCATATAATGAACTCCCTTTTCATTTTGTTGATGGTTTCTTTTGCCGTGCAAAAACTTTTTATTTTGATGTAGTCCCATTTGTTTATTTTCTCTTTTGTTTCTCTTACCCTAGGACAGTGATGGCGAACCTTTTGAGCTCGGCGTGTCAGCATTTTGAAAAACCCTAACTTAACTCTGGTGCCGTGTCACATATAGAAATTTTTGATATTTGCAACCATAGTAAAACAAATATTTTATATATTTAAATGCCATTTAACAAAGAAAAATCAACCAAAAAAATGAGTTCGCGTGTCACCTCTGACACGTGTGTCATAGGTTCGCCATCACTGCCCTAGGAGATGTATCGGCAAACATATTGCTAGGAGAGATGTTTGAAATTTTGCTGCCTATGGTTTCTTCTAGGATTTTTATGGTCTCATAACTTATATTTAAGTCTTTTATCCATTTTGAGTTTGTTCTTTTTTAAAATATATTTTTATTGACTTCAGAGAGGAAGGGAGAGGGAGAGAGAATAGAAACATCAATGATGAGAGAGAATCATTGATCAGCTGCCTCCTGCATGCCCCCTACTGGGGATCAAGCCCACAGCCCAGGCATGTGCCCTTGACCGGAACTGAACCTGAGACCCTTTAGGTCCACAAGCCAATGCTCTATCCACTGAGCCAAACCAGCTAGGGCTTGAGTCTATTCTTGTGTATGGTGTAAGCTGGTGGTATAGTTTCATTTTTTTTGCATGTACCTGTCCAATTTTCCCAATACCATTTTTTAAAAAATATTTTTATTGATTTTTTTTACAGAGAGGAAGGGAAAGGGATAGAGAATTAGACACATCGATGAGAGAGAAACATCAATCAGCTGCCTCCTGCACACCCCCTACCAGGGATGTGCCCGCAACCAAGGTACATGCCCTTGACCGGAATCGAACCTAGGACCCTTCAGTCTACAGGCCGACGCTCCATCCACTGAGCCAAACCGGTCAGGGCCCAATACCATTTATTGAAGAGACTGTCTTGACTCCATTGTATGCTCTTACTTCCTTTGTCAAATATTAAGAATAATGACAGGTTGATTTATGGGGGTCTCTGTTGTATTCCATTGATCTATAGGCATGTTCTTGTGCCAGTACCAGGCTGTTTTGATTATAGTGGCTTTGTAGTATTACTTGATATCTGGTATTGTGATCCCTCCAACTTTGTTCTTTCTGAAGACGGCTGTGGTATTCAAGGTCTTTTTGGCTCCACATAAATTTTGGAGTATTTGTTTTAGATCTGTGAAATATGCTATTGATATTTTAAAAGAGATTGCATTGAATCTATAAATTGCTTTGGGTAGTATGGACATTTTATACCTAGAGAGTATTAAGCTAAGGAAAATAAGTCAGTCAGAGAAAGACAAGTATCACATAATCTCACTCACATGTGGAATCTAAAACACAAAATAAACTGATGAACAAAATAGATCCAGAGGTATAGAAGTATAGAAAAGACTGTCAAATCACAAAGGGAAGGCAGGGGTGGGGTTGGGTGAGGGCTAGAAGGGGTCAGTGGGGGAAAAAGGGGAACATCTGTAATATTTTCAACAATAAAGAATTTTTAAAAACATTATCTTATAGTCCTGTGGACCCTGAGAAAGATGCCTACTAAGAAGGGCTCCTGGTAGCTAACTGGGCTCAAATTTTAAAAAACAAAACAAAAAACCCCTAGGGCCTAGCAGCCATTTCTGTACAAGGGCCTCTCATGCAAACTGCACTTTAGGAAGAAGTCTACACTATACTACTGGCCTCTGCACTGAACTGCCTGCTGCATTGTTTCTGCCATTTGAGTTAGTCCTTATAAAGGAGTTCCTGAAATCGTATTTCAACCAACAAGACTAAAGTTTTCCCCATCCAACTGGAGCTGTGCAGCTGCAACCAATTAGAGGGCTCTATTCTGACCAATAAAGACAGTACTTTTTGGACCAATCAAACTGTGAGGATCTGGAGTCTTCATTTGCATCAGGACAGACCAATCAAGGACCAGGGTCTGGAACTTCTGTCTATATAAGCCAGCTCCCCTCTGGTTCTAGAAGGCATTTTCTATTTCCTCCAAATACTGAGAACTGCATTTCCCTGGCTTCTCAGCAGAGAACACAGAGCAGACCAGTGGAGGCCAGAGCAGTCTTGCACAGAACAGAGCAGACCAAAGCACAGCACAGCAGACTAGCACAGTGCAAAGCAGACTAGCACAAAGCAGAGCAGACCATCAAGGAGCAGAGCAGAGCTGTCTAGCCAGAGAGGGGCCTGGCCCCAGAGTTGCCTCACAGTCTTGCTATATTCACAGCAGCGCTATATCACAATTAGCTGTTTTGCACTGATAAAATTTTCTTTTTCACCATACCCCAAATGGGGATTCCTGCTGGTATTGAATTAGCACTAATCCCTAGTAGCATGCTTATAAGGACAAATGGACAGAGACTAGGATGTAACTATAACTTAATTTAGATTGCTAAAAATGGTAGATAAATTTTATTATTAATCAAGAACATGCCAATAAAATGGTTTAAGAAAAATTAACGTGTTTATGCAACCCTCCAAGTAAAGCTTAATAAAATTAAATATGATCCCTATAGAACTTACTGTCCTTTGGTAAAACTGTAACACTAATGCCAGGATCACTAAGTTTGATGAAAGGAGGATTTCCTGACTTCCTGTCTTCTTCTCTGATAAGTAGAATGTTTTTGGCACACACATTCCCATGAATAAGGTTTTTTTCTTCCTATTAGAGTAAAATATAAATACATTCAAATATCAATCCACAAATATATGAACATTTAATATGTCTTAAGCCCCAAATGGATTTAAAAAAGAAAAAGGAAAAGAAAAAGAAAAAGAAGACTATTAATTAATAAACATTAATTTGGAGGTATGCTTTGAGATAATAAAAGGAAATTTTATAGCAACACTGTGCTTCCTGTTTTATATTTTAAATGACACAATAATCTATGCCCAGAATAAAACAAATACATTAAAACTACCCAATGCCACTTCACTTTTAAAGTTTAGATTTTAGTAGTACCTACTTTTAGGTAGTAGCTGAGAGAAATACTATTTATTTTCAGCAGCAGAATATAGGTGTGCTCTGAGAGGTCTGATCCCTGGTTGGCCCTATGGTATTCTGCTTCTCCAGAAATATTGCTTTCTTATTGGACATAATTTCTAATTGCCCACAAACACTACAAGGTATATTCTGAGTTTTCTGCTATCCATAGTTAGCACATTTCTGCATAATTTTTTGTTAAATTCTTTAAACACAAGTGACATAAACCTTAGATTGTTTGTCATCAGTTCTAAGAGATTGGTGAAATGACAAAACTATATTAAAAGTGACTTTATATAAATAAATATATGCCTAAAATAATACCTTTCATAAAACAAACAGATGATTTTAAATAACTTAGCATCCATTCACAGACTTATTTCTTGTTCCCAGGTCAAGATCCTTTCTACATTTCTTCACTAAATAAAATACCTGATGAAGAATATACTGCCCTGGCTGGGTGGCCCAGTGGTTGGGGCATTGTCCCATACACCAAAAGGTTGCAGGTTCGAGCCTCAGTCGGGCATGTATGGGAGGCAGCCAATCAATGTTTTCTCTTACATTGATGTTTTTCTCTCTTTCTCTCTCTCTCTCTCTAAAACCAATAAAATATATCCTTGGGTGATGATATTTTTTTATAGAATATACTAATTACTTACTAGAAAATGCATGGCCCATGCCAACTGTTTAGCCACTTCAAGTTTCCATAATATATTTATAGAATTTTTATTCTTTTTCAAATATGTATCTAGTGATCCAAATTTCACAAACTCCTGAACCAGAATATCTGCATTAAAATACAATAATGAAAAGGCTCAAGTACACATACAATACAAAATATATATAATTTGAAACTTGTATAAATATATTATAGTTACCTGTGGGTATTATAGGAAAAGAGATTAAACTACATACAATTCACTAATTTAAAAAGCTAAACAGCTGCATACCATTCAGAAGGGGGGGGTTAGTTTATTCACAACTGCAAAAGGTAGCAATCTAAATTTTTTATACATAATATGCATTACACATAGTAATAAATAATACATAGTAAAATATATGTACACAATACATGCAATATTACATATGTACATAAATATTTTATAATAATACACATTTTACGCACCCCCACACATATAAAATATTACTTCAGCATACCTCTATGTGTCATCACTGAATTATGGCTGCTTTTTTAAAACAAATAAAAATGTCTCACTTTATTAATTTTTCTTCCATGAAACTATTTAGACATTCAAAACTTCCTGAATTCTTCTTCCACACACAAAAAATAATAACAATGTCTATTGTATTGGAGATATGAAGGATAATTTGAGTTTGAACTGCATCCATTCCTTTAATTTATGCTGTAAAAAATTGTTTTGCATTGCTTTATCTTTAAAACTATTTTTTAAAAATACTATTAAGATATATTTTTCCAGAGAAGCAAGTATTTGCTCTTAAAAAAATGCTGACTGCCATTATGAAACAGTAAAAATTCCCTGTTAGTACTGACTTAGTTCCTGAAAGCCAAGACTGTTTCTACATAAACACATGTTATTTAATAATTAACTGGGTTTAGGGTTTATTTACATTCTTCTAGTAATAATTTGTAATACAGTAACCTTAAGTCCTTGATTTCAAATTTGAATTTATTGATATTTTGTTTTTTATCAAGCATAGTGTTGTCTTCAAAATTAAATAATGGAAAATTAAGATACAAAATAAAAACCACAAAAACTCAAGTAAAAAATTTTTAACATGGCATAATGATACATATTTTTAAAGAAATTCTCACAGACTTCACATTGTTATCCATGTTAGTTCATGGCCCAGTAAGTTATTAAGTGACTAAACTTCATACATGCCTATATTTCATATATTTGCTTTAAAATGCATACTGTGGATCTAATCTCAAATTGTGATACTGCTTGATTTAATATTAAAATGACTTAGTTTTCATTTGGTATGTAATAATTGTTATTGACAAAAGTTGCCTTTGGACCTCGCTGAGTAACAGAAACAAATTAAAGTTTTGCTGCCCATAGTTAATTTGGAGAACAATCCACATACCAATAATTAAAAATTGAGCAATGTTACCCCAATAAATTTAATTTTAGAAAAATGCCTGCAGGAAAATTTGTCCGGAGAAATATCCAGAAAAAGATCTAGTAGCTGCAATGTTGCAATGAACAAGAGCTTAATAAAATCTTTTTTATGTGGCATGTAAGACTTACTATTTTTCATAGATACCACAGATTATCATATGTCCCCTTATTTTATGTTATACAAGAAAAAAAATACCCATTAAGCTGAACATGCCATCAATTATATCACAGCTTCTCAATTTCAGATTTTTTTAAAATATATTTTTAATTGATTTTTTACAGAGAGGAGGGGAGAGGGATAGAGAGTTAGAAACAACAATGAGAGAGAAACATCGATCAGCTGCCTCCTGCACACCCCCTACTAGGGATGTGCCCACAACCAAGGTACATGTCCTTGACGGGAATCGAACCTGGGACTTTTCAGTCTGCAGGCCAACGCTCTATCCACTGAGCCAAACCAGTTACGGCCAGATTTTTTTTTTAATGAGAAGAGTACATCACAGAAACAATGAACTAAATATAAAAGCAAGTGCAAGAATTGGAATTATATGCTCTAAGTATATCCTCCCCAAGTGAAAAATTATGAGAAACATCAATAAATAAAAAGGATAAATACAGAACCACTCTAGTTGGTGTTAAGTGGGTAGAACTCTCCACTACTGCATTTAGATTTATAGTCATTTTATTAACTCCTCTGAAATACATGAGGAACTTCCAGAAAACAGATTTGAAAGCTATTGCCTTTGAAAAGATTATCAATATTCAAATATATGAAGCAATGTTATATGAGTATGGATGCATATCTAATCCGCATTACTAATTGAAAGTAGGAATTACATAGAAAGTTTCTGAATGTAAACCTTGTAAGTTTTTATGAACAGTCTAAATTTACACAGAATATATCTAATATCAACATCTAATCATTTCAGTCAGTTTCATTCAAAATCAGTCTAGGCCTGGCCAGTGTGGCTCAGTTGGTTGGGCATCGTGCTGTACATTGAAAGGTTGCCGATTCGATTCCCAGTCAGGATTCATGCCCAGGTTGCAGGCTTGATCTGCAGCAGGGCATATGCAGGAGACAGTTGATCGACGTTTCTCCCTCTCTCTCCCTTACTCTCTAAAAACAATGAACTCTTTTTAAAAAATCAGTCTATAATTTATATGCTTTATCTTTATAATTCCAAATAAATGGGTACTGTACAGAAATGTCCAGTTATTCCATTATTATGTTAAACCAGCCATAATCTATAGGGTTGGGCAAAACTAGGTTTACAGTTGTTCGTATGGAAAAATAATACAATAATTAACAAATATACAAGAAAGAATAAACTCCGTTTAGAGTACTCACAACTATAAACCTACTTTTGCCAAACACTGTATATTATGGTAAAAGATTAGTAAACATTGTTTATTATAATACTCTACTGTTTAACATAAGCCATGTTAACTATTTTCTGCATTTTAAATTCATTCATTGGTTTCCTTTTTTAGAAGGCTTAACTGAACAGCTCTACAATGTTTTTGGTTTCAATAATATTTAATTCCTGTTAAAGTATGGTTTATACTGATACATAACTATGATCCTGAAAATGAATTTTCTATATAAAAAAAATGGATGTACTGAGAAAGGCATAACATTAACATGAAGAAGCCAGAGATTTACTTACTCTCCTCTCCACAGACACATACTCCATAATTTAAAACCAGATGCTTGTGAGAAAGCTGGCTCATCATGCTTGCTGCTTCAAAGAAAGACTAAGGAAAAGAAAAGCATACAAAAATGCAAAAGAATTATTGTCTGTGCCTATAAGTATTCACAGTTCAGAAAGATATTCTTTGGCGGTGCAGTGGTTCTCAACCTTCCTAATGCCGCGACCCTTTAATACAGTTCCTCATGTTGTGGTGACCCCCAACCATAAAATTATTTTCGTTGCTACTTCATAACTGTAATTTTGCTACTGTTATGAATCGTAATGTTAATATCTGATATGCAGGATGTATTTTCATTGTTCGCGACCCACAGGTTGAGAACCGCTGGTAGAGAAATGCACTTTCTCCTCTTCTCTGCAGAACTATATATGTAAGGCTACAATGTGCTTTGGTCCCCTTATATGGTCTTGCAATGCCATCAATCTTAATGCTAGAGTTCACTCTGAAGAAACCCCTCAACCTAGAGTAGAAGACAGAGGTACAAACAGAAGTAGACACCAGAGATAGTGATATGAGATTGAAGTAAGTGGATGGGAGCTTCAAATAACACTTCCTAAGGAATTGGAATGTACACCTGGAACTAATATAGTGTATGGCAACTGTAATTGAAAATTAAAATGATTTAAATTTAAAATAAAAAAATTTTAAGTAAAAAAAAATTATCTCTGTGCATATAAAATATCATGACAACTATGTTGGGAGATTAGCATGGTATTAACATCACTTTAACTCAACTAAACTTTGACTAGAACTTCTGGCTATTACTGTTGAGAATCATATTCACCAACACTGCGGTGTTCTGGATTAGAACAACTCTTTGACTTGTATGTTTCACATCCTCTTCTTACTAACATCCTTTAAGATATTTTAAACATCACAAATGTTTGGTGATGCCGTGCTATGCTAAGAACTCAGGCAAATAGCAGCTGGGTTTCTGTGGGCTAGTATCTCTGTAATCCGTATTTCAACTAGAATGTTTCATAGTACAAACTTTTTTAAAAAATTGATTTTTAGAGGGAGAGGAAAAGAGAGAAAGAAACATCAATGTGAGAGCAAAGCTTCAATCAGTCTTCTGAACACCCTCCACTGGGGATCAAGCCCGCAAAAGGGGTATGTGCCCCAACGAGGAACCAAACCAGTAACCCTTCAGTGCACAGGATGATGCCCAACTAACCGAGCCACACGGACCAAAGCTAAACTCTCTCTCTCTTTTTATTTTTAAGTAGATGACATTATGAAAGAAATCTGTGGAGCCCATAAAGCTCTGGGAACCAAATCTGAAAACCACTGCCTTAGTATATGCAGAGACATAATGATACCCTTAACACAATGCCAAAAGTAGTTTTAAAATCCTATCTAATAATAGACAAACATGGTAATTAACTGTACCTCCGACACGCTTCCCATTGGCTAATCAGGGCGATATGCAAATTAACTGCCAACCAAGATGGCGGCCGGCAGCCAAGCAGCTGAAGCGAACAGGAGGCCTGCTTGCTCCAGTGACAGAAGCCAAGGTTCCCCACCTGCCGCCGCCCAGCTCTGAGCTGCACGCTAAGCAACCATGTTGCAATTATAGAAGCTAAACAATCCCCAGAAACCTGCTTTCAGCCAGCCAGGCCTCAGAGCTGGAGTTGCAACAGTGTTTCAATTATAGAAGCTAAACAAAGCCCAGATACCTGCTTTCAGCAGCGGAGGCCTCAGAGCTGGAGCTGAGCCTCAGAGCTAAAGCCGGCTCTCAGCTCCAATGACAGCCATAGAAGGTAAATAAATCCCAGAATAAAAAAAAAAAGCAAAAAAGGAGAGGTTGGGAGCTTCAGTCACCCGCCAGCCTGAAAACGGCCCTCAGCCCCTCACCCAGACTGGCCAGGCACCCCAGTGGGGACCCCCACCCTGAAGGGGGTGTGACCAGCTGCAAACACCCATCAGCCCATCATCCAGGCTGGCCAGGCACCTAAGCGGGACCCCCACCCTGATCCGGGACACCATTCAGGGCAAACCAGCCGGCCCCCACCCGTGCACCAGGCCTCTATCCTATATAGTAACAGGGTAATATGCAAATTGACCCTAACAGCAGAAGGACTGGGAATGACTGGTCACTATGACACACACTGACCACCAGGGGGCAGACGCTCAATGCAGGAGCTGCCCTCTGGTGGTCAGTGCGCTCCCACAGGGGGGAGCTCTGCTCAGCCACAAGCCAGGCTGATGGCTGCCAGTACAGCAGTGGTGGTGGGAGCCTCTCCTGCCTCCTCAGCAGCGCTAAGGATGTCCGACTGCAGTTTAGGCCTGCTCCCCGCTGGCAAGTGGACATCCCCCGAGGCTGCGGGCTGCCAGAGGGATGTCTGATTGCCATCTTAGGCCCGCTCCCCGGGGATTGGCCTAAGCCAGCAAGTGGTCATCCCCTGAGGGGTCCCAGACTGCGAGAGGGCACAGGCCGGGCTGAGGGACCACTCTCCCCCCGCTCCCCGGAGTGCACAAATTTTTGTGCACCGGGCCTCTAGTGTTATTATTAAAATCCTATATAATAAAGCCCTAATATGCAAATTGACCAAATGGTGGAATGACCAGTCGCTCTGACGTGCACTGACCACCGGGGGGCAGACGCTCAACGCAGGAGCTGCCCCCTGGTGGTTAATGTGCTCCCACAGAGGGGAGCGCTGCTCCACCAGAAGCTGGGCTCATGGCTGGCGAGTGCAGCAGTGGAGTGGCAGGGAGCCTCTCCCGCCTCCGCAGCAGGACTAAGAACCCCTCAGGGGATGTCCGTCTGCCGTAACCTGGCAGTCGGACATCCTCTGAGGGGTCCCAGACTGCAAGAGGGCTCAGGCCGGGACCCCCACCCTCCAGTGCACAAATGTTGTGCACCGGGCCTCTAGTATTCTATAATTTTCTATAGCCACACTAGAAGGCCATCCTCAGAAAGGTCCTTGATATAAACTTTTTAAAGTTACAATTTTGAAAAGCTGCAAGCATGATGTGTTGTGTGCATATTAAGACCACATCTTTAAATATCATAAACTATATAAACTACACAAAGAGTATACATACCTCTGAATAGTTTCTATGTGCTTTATCCAGAACTTTTAAAAGAACTTCTGTTTCATGCAGTTGACCATAATCTCCTACTTCTCTTCTTACACCTTTAAAAATTTTTGTAAAAGTGCCTTGGCCAAGACTTTCATTCTTTAAAAGAAAGAAAGAAAAGAAAATAATGAGTAAAGATAGATAAAGATGTGAGAATTAGGAAATATGTTCAATGACAAAGAGTAAAAAAAAAAAATCCATGAGCAAATATCTCCCAGATTTAAGACTCCGAATTAATTATATTCTGCTTCCTTATACAATAATAGAAGACAAAAAAATAAGGATTAATGAATAAAGTGTATTTTGGTTCCACCCATTCTTAAGCCCCCTGGATTGGCTATAATTATCACCTATATTTACCTACATTATTTTTTATTTACCTACATTTATTTACATGTGAAATTTTGTTGTTGTTGTTGCCTTTCCTAATAGTGCAGTAGAATGGCAGTACAGTATGGTCTGTGGAGGCAGCATATCTGACTTGTTCCATATTACCTACTACCTTCTAGTTGTTTGACCCTATACATACAGTCCTTGTGTTACGTCGCACTCGACATCATTTCGTGGTTACGTTGCCATCTCCCATTTATTTATAAAAAAAAGAGTTCTGTCATTTCGACGAATGTACATATGTGCTTTGTTTTTTATTATTAATTTACCACAAGGTCAGGAATTGTTATCTTTCTTTTAATTTTTTTTTTTTTTTTTACTGTTTCACTTCATTACTGCTGTGTACGTGCTCCATGTGAGTGACGTAGGTGCTTATGTAGGTGGGTTCCGACTTACAGTGAAAATCGCATTACGTCGCGCCATAGAAACGGATCTCCGACGTAACCCGAGGACCTACTGTACAGGCAATTTAATCTCTTCCTGCTGTAGCTGTCTTTTCCTCATTGGAGGAATAGGAATAACTATTTTTCCATAGATTGTTATGAGCAATAAGTGAATAATTACATGAAAGCACTTAGTATAGTCTATGACACATAGTAAATGTTCAATAATTAGCCTTTACTAGTATTTCTTATACATCCTTCCAGAGTAATTGTTGAAACCCTGAACTCTGAAGCAGGGCTGCCTATGTTCAAACTGAAAGTCTACTATTATTAGTTTTATTAATTAGGTTACCTGGTGACTCTTTGCTTCCCATTACCTGAGGATGTCTTTACAATTCTTTTTTTTTTTACATATATTTTATTGATTTTTTACAGAGAGGAAGAGAGAGGGATAGAGAGTTAGAAACATCGATGAGAGAGAAACATCGATTAGCTGCCTCCTGCACACCCCCGACTGAAGATGTGCCTGCAACCAAGGTACATGCCCTTGGCCGGAATCAAACCCGGGACCCTTCAGTCCACAGGCCGACGCTCTATCCACCGAGCCAAACCAGTCAGGGCTCTTTACAATTCTTGATAATTATGTCTACTGTCTCTTTATGGAACTTGGACATCAGTGATCATTTTCTTACTCATTCTGCTCAACATGAAAATTTTTCAGATCTCTCTTCCAATTCACTATCTTTTCAACTAAAGGTAATCTGCTTATTAACCTGTTCATTTTGTATCACTGTCAATGAGTGTGATTTTCCATTTCTATATTTTTCTTCTCTAAATACTTGTTCTTTTTAAAAAGTGTCTTGTTTTTTCCCCATGCTTCCATTGCCTTTTATATCTTTAAAAATATGTATTTTATTGTAGGGCACGGCTATAGGGTTAAGCCTCGGACTGACCTGTTGGCAAAGTCACAAACAAGTCCCAGCTTAGAGGGCATAATTAGACTTGACCTTATGATGCTCCCTAGATCTTATCTGGGAAGCTAATGGGCTGAGGGAGGTGCAGCAAGTGCTGCCAAAACAAGTGAAACTCAAAAGAACAGTGTAACTATGGTAACCACTACCTTGTTTACCTCTGGCTATAAAATAAAGGCTCAGCTTGCCTCTGGATCTCTCTCTGTGGGCTCAGCCAGGCACAGGAAGATCCACCTAGACCCAGCTTATTCTCTTTGTCATTTTCTCCATTCTTCACCGCCCTCACTCAGGCTTTCGAACCCTTGGCTGAGCTGGCTCGGCACATTTTATAATCTCTAAAAATCTGTTATATGAAATATTTTGATGTTTGTTGGTCTGCTTACTCTTGGTTACTCTAGGGCTATTTCGCTTTTAATTTTTTCAATTAAAAGCTCATGCTTGGCCTTGCCAGTTTGGCTCAGTAGATAGAGTGTCGGTCTGGACTGAAGGGTCCTGGTTTGATTCCAGTGGAGGGGCAAGGGGGGCAGGGGTACATACCTCGGTTACAGGCTCCCCCGCTGCCTGGGCCCAGGTCGGGGCACATGCAAGAGGCAACCAATCGATGTGTTTCTCTCTCATCGATATTTCTGTCTTTCCCTCTCTCTTCCACTCTCTCTAAAAATCAATGGAAAAATATCCTCCAGGGAGGATTTAAAAAAAAAAAAAAAGCTCATGTTTGGAGTCATTTCATCGGTAGACTTCTGAGTGAGCGAGGTTAAGAGTATGTTCTTCCAAAAAGATTTTGTTTCTGCTTCTGCCAAGCACTACAAGGTATTACTAGGGGAGTATCATTTTTTAATTATTAGCTTAGATCAGGCGGGTGGTATAAACCCAAACTCAAAAGTCTATGATTACAAATTCTCAGGAGAGACATTTTTTCCTAAGAGCCCACCTAAAACAACACTTCTCTTCCCCTTTTGCTAGTGGGTGAATTTTTTACAATCCATATATTGTTTTACTGAGAATGTATTTATTTGAAGGTCCTGGCTTTTATTCAGACATGGCCTCACTTTTAACTCCTGCTCTTTGTAGGCCTTAAGACTTGGCCCTACTTTTAGATCTTAATCTACTTGATTAGTGAGACTAATCCCAACCCCCAAAATCATTCTATAGCCAAACCATCAGATATTATGTACTACTTTATTTTCAGTTTCTTTCTTATTTTTAATCCCTTGAATTTCCCTTACTTTCTCTACAATTTGAGAATTAAGATATAGGTCTTTTGTAGAAGAAGATTTTTAATTTTTAATTTAAGATATATAAAGAAATTTTTAAAATCCTGTAAAAAAATACAATTCCCTTCTTAAAATAATATTATTAATTTCTCACTCAAGTTTGGTATTATACTTTCACAAGAAATAAAAATATTTAAAGTGCAAAAAATGTTAATATAGGTTATAATAAAATACTTCCAAATGTCACATGAATATAAGTGGGAAACATTTGTTATTTTTAAAGGACAAGAAAGACCATAATCAGCATCTAATGACTTACAAATACTAAATCTTCATTTCTGATTTTGTGAAACACCATTTGGTTCACATTATTATGTCTCTGTAATGTTGGTGAGGTTGGTACATCAGAAACACTATTTGTTCTAAAGACTAGAAGGTTTGATTTATCTGTAAAGGAAAAAAAAGAAATAATGAAAACATATATAATCAAAACATGCTGAGGACATAAAATTCTCCAAAGGGGTAAAATAAAATGTGTTCTAAATATAAGAAATGCTTAATAAGTTTGACTGTTCATTTTTTCCATAGAAAATTATTTTAGCAGTTTATTCACTGAACTTTAATGTACCTTAACCAGTTATTTCAAATATTCAAAATTATTCACTTCCATAACTAATATAAATTTTCAGGAATTTTAAATAATCATTATTTCACGAGATTTCCAACCTTACTATTTTTATTTTAAAAGTGTAAGAAATTATAGTGTTTAATTAGAACCACATATGAGAATTTGGTAGTGAGGTCTTTCACTTCAAATAATAAATGACTGATTTATATCAAGCATTATTATTTTTAATATCATTTCAGAATTATAGAACTTCATGTCACTTCTAGAAAACCCAAACCAAACTGAACAATCCTATTTGAGGATATATTTATAAAGAAGGAGGCAAAATTAATCTGTTTATGGAGCTGCTTCTTTCATCTTTCTTTTTAAATCAATATACTAAAGATATCACTCACTATATACACAAGCCATGACCCATATTTTTAAAATAACTAGAAAATTATTTTACCTTTTGGCTTTGGAGGACAGCATTTTGTAAACTGGAAAATTATATTGTCTGAGCGAACAGTTTCCATCTGGTAGCAATTCAAAAGATCTTTAAGATTACTGAAGTTCTTCTTAGTCCCACTGAGGTTGTATTCTCCATTCTCATTTTTTGTAATCAGACAGTGCTTATATTCAATGACATTATCATGCTATATAAGTTTAATTATAAAGAGAGAGAGGGGAAATCACAATGGACATCATAGTGATTACTATTACAAAATGGATTTCACAAAACTAACCAACAAAATATTTAGACATTTGAATCATGAATCCTAGTATAGTACCAGAGTAGGGTAATAGAGGTGCTTGATTCCTCAAAAAGAACTATATTGTATAGGCTAAAGAAATGGCTTAAGAGTTGACTTTATTTTTTAAAAAGCAATGATAATTAACAATAATAATACCATCCTTAACAGTTTTCCATCACTTATAAGATAAAGTCTATAACCAATTTAGTGTATAAGGTGTTCCTTGAGCAGGATTCTGCCTCCATCTCCAATCTCAACTTCTGCCAATTACAAAATACAGCCTATGTTCTGGCTATATTATGACTCAAAAAATTCCAAGCAAGTGCCATGCTATTTCATGATAACTGTACATGCTCTCTCTCTACCTATAAATGTACATGTTTCCTTTCTGAGCAATGGACTTTTATTCATTCCTAAAACTTAGTTCAAGTTCCACTTCCTTTGAGGTCCTCCCTATAACTCTCAACACATTCCACAAGCAAAGGTCATTCCCATTCCACTGTGCCACTACTGTATTTGTATAATTGTCTCCAATATGGGAATGTTAATATTTTTCAATGTCTGTCTTATGTGCTTGTTCATTAACAAGTTTGTTCATCCATCTATTTTTTGAGCGACTTCTTAATAAGCATATTCAACCTATTTAGGACCATTTGTATAAACTCAACTAAATACTTCAAGGTCAATCTCAAATCCTTCCTACTCCAAAAGATCTTTAACTGTATTTTCTGTTGTTGTCTATGCCTATACTATATAATAAAGAGCTAATATGATAATTAGACCGAACAGAACGACCATCCGGACATCCTTTAAGACGACTGTCCGGAGGACCTTCAGGACGAAGCCAGGGCTGCAAGAGCCGGCCGAGGCTGCGAGGGGCTGCGAGGGCCTGCAAGAGCTAGCCAAGGCTGCAAGGGGCTGTGAGGGCCGGCCGAGGCTGCGAGGGGCTCCGAGGGCCGAGCCCCTTGCATGAATTTCGTGTATCAGGCCTCTAGTACTGAATAATTACAATGCTCAATTTAGTAAATTTTTTGTATTCTTTCTTCTTTTTTCCCAAAAGACAAACTTCTTGAAACAGGGCTATGTAACATACACTCCCTAATACATAACAATATATTCATTTTGATTTGGTAATTGAATATAATGAGCTACTATAATTTCAGTGAGAAAATATTGTGAAATTAGGATAGAGCATTTTACAATACTAAAGTTGTAGAGTAACCTACCTTCTGTTTTTATGGACAATAAATCCACTCTGCATATGCTAAATATAAGATAACAACTATATTTTATAAAACTTAAAATAACTGAATAACAAAATCCTTACTTTCTATATTTTAAAAAACAAGATAAATTTTGGAAGCTAATATAAAGTTTTTCAAGATTTATACCATGAAACTGCTTTATAAGTGATACTATCTTTTTAGATAATTTTGGATTGTAAACAATCTTAGATAGCATACAAATAATCTGCATTAAGAGTGAGGTTTCACCGTTTGAGCATCGTCCTGATATGCCAAGGTTGCAAGTTCAATCCCTGGACAGGGCACATACAAAAATCGACCAATGTTGCATATAAAAGTGGAACAACAAGTTGATGTTTCTCTCTCTTAAAAATCAATCAAAAAATAAATAATTTTAAAATGTTTTTAAAAAATGAGGTTTCATTGTAGTTTTAAGCTTAAAACATACATTGTAGATTGTCATTCTTAATATTGAAAGAGGTTAGCCCTGGCTGGGTGGCTCAGTTGACTGGACCATTTTACATCAAAAGGTTGCGGGTTTGATTCCCGGTCAGGGCACACACCTAGGTTGCAGGTTCAATCCCCGGTGGGGCGAGTAAGGGAGGCAACCAATGAATGTTTCTCTCTCACATCGATGTTTCTCTCTATCTCTCTCTAAACAATAAAAAAAATTCTCAAGTAAGGATTTTTTAAAAAGAAAAAAACCCACCACTAGCTAAAAGTTCAATAATGTTTGTTTCTTTGTTATTACCTTATTTCACTCTAATCTTATAACCATTACTAGTAAAAGGAAAGTTTACTTCTGATTTATTGTGTTCTATATGTTTTGGTAAAGATTTCCATCTTTCTGAAAAAAGAGACTTTAAGAGAATTGATGCAGTATGACACCCTTGTAACACCCAAACTCCAAAAAATAAAGTAAAATAAATTCTACATTAAAAGACAGAAGGACATTATAAATCATTTTATATTTTACATAAATCCTAGGAATTATAATTTATTATACATGCAGGATCCCTGGGGTAAATTAAATATTATTATGCTAGCTATATCCAGAGCTATAATTCAGAGTATTAAAAAGGAAATATATATGGTACCTAAACATGAAGGGGAAATTATATAGACTAAATAAAGATGTTACTGTTAATGAATGTGACATACTAACCTCGACAGCAAAAGTCAAAAAATATTTATTAAACTCCTTAGGACTGCATCGAAGTACATAAAGTCCAGTCTGATTACCTGCTTTCTTCAGTTTACTTATGGCAAAATCCATTCTAAACATAAAGAAGTAATGTGAATGATAACATAGCAAGATATCATCTAAAAGATCAAAAGTCAAATCTAAAATTCAGAATTTTTAGAAGTCTCCTCTACTTTGTAAGTTTATCAATAATCTTGTAAGGAAAAATATTAAGTTCAAACCAATTCAAGGGACAATTATATTGCTTTAAAAACAAATCAACAGCATTAGAGGACACACAAAATCACAAAGAACTCATTTATTTGAATTTTCTGCCTTCTGATTGCAAACTTAGTATTTTAAAAACAATACTCTCATAAAACTTCATTTATGCAAACAATATATCATAAACACTTATGTCTCTTCTACCATAGCAATTTCTAATATAAAAATTTATGTGCATTATTTTAATATTTAATATAATCCAAAGTCTACTAGAAGATCAATTGCAAATAACAAAGACTACTGAGTTTTAAAATCTGCTATATGCTTTATTGAAGCTGCACGTCTTGAAAGAAAAATCAAAATGTAATCTACATGAAAGCAAGAATCATCTATCACTATCTCATAACACACCTAGGCAACTCAAATTATACAAATAAGAAGTATTGTCGATTGAGATACAGGTAATAAATTATATCCTAAATAATTCTAATTATTATTTATATCTTATTGTAAATAGACTTTTATTACAAAAAAACTTCAGTTCTTTTTTTCTAAACTCCTAAACCAGTGATGGCGAACCTATGACACGCGTGTCAGAGGTGACAAGCAAACTCATTTTTTTGTTTGATTTTTCTTTGTTAAATGGCATTTAAATATATAAAATAAATATCAAAAATATAAGTCTTTGTTTTACTATGGTTGCAAATATCAAAAAATTTCTGTATGTGACACAGCACCAGAGTTAAGTTAGGGTTTTTCAAAATGTTGACACGCCGAGCTCAAAAGGTTCGCCATCACTGTCCTAAACCTATGTACATCACTCTGTTGTATAAAACCTTTTTTGTAAATACTTCATTTACTATTTTAAAAATTTACTTCTAGCTCTAGCAGGTTTGGCTCAGTGGATAGAACGTTGGCCCGCAGACTAAAGGGTCTCAGGTTCAATTCTGGACAAGGGTACATACCTTGGTTGCAGGCTCAATCCCCAGCCCTAGTCAGGGCACGTGCGGGAGGCAACCAATGATGTCTCTCTCTCTCTCTCTCTCTCTCTCTCTTTCTCTCTCTCTATCTCTATCTCCCTCAAAATCAATGGAAAAATATTCTCAGGTGAAAATTAACAACAATAAAATTTAATTTTAAACTATGTTTTACTTACGAAATTGGGCCATGACAATTGCTTTGTATATTTTCAAGCACCACTGGAGATGCTACTTCTTTACAGAGGTAATGATGTGCATCTGCAGTTAATCTATAATATCCATCAATTAATGACACAAAAGACAAAGCCTCCTTTAATGAACTAAGTTCAATTTCCTAAGCAGAGAAAAGAAAAAAAAGTATCATTTAAAAAGTCAACTGCATGCTACATATTGAAAATTCTCTTTGCTCCATGTTGTTAGATTAATTCTCCTAAATTTTTTTCCACATTGCTCAAATGTCTTTTATGGCCCAATTTGAATTATAAATTATTCTAATATTTAAGACGCTCTTAAATATAAGCTTATTATACCTTTCCAGTTATAGTTCACTCTACATCCATAATTTTACTATATTTTCCAGTATCCCCATTAGAAAAATGCCAGTTATCTCAATTAGAAATCTATCTAATCCAATATAAAAGTTGGAATTAGAAATAATGATTTATTTTTACATACCAAATATACACTGCTAAGTTAAAGTACTTATGCTATAAACTAAAATGTGTACAATATAAACTTAAATCATATATAGTCTAGTAGGGAGTAGGTACACACTATTAATCATATTTTTATCTAAGAACAGGAAAGCTTGCTGACTAAAATGAGTTACAAGTTAATTATAATTTTGGTAATATAAACCTGAACTGGCCAGAGAAGTACATACAGATACTTAAGTTAAATAATCAAATAACACTAATATGACATTTAAGCCAGGAAGTTAAGAAATATCTGAGCTGAAAACAGCCACATAAATAAGACATTTAAGAGCAGGGTATAAAAGAGTGCATTTCTTTTTCATAGAGGAGGGGCATATAACAGAAACAGAATCATAGTTGTTTAATAACTACTCACCATAAAAAAAATAAAAGATTTTCTTACCGACCCTGGGAAACTGAAGCACATGTTACAAGAAGAACAAGCCCGGGAGATAAGGCATCCCAGCGACCAGATCAAGGACAGAATCTATCTGAAGGGAGGCAGCATTCGGGGCTAATCTTTACAAGGACAAGGAAAAAAGGCAGTCCCTGGGAACTCACTAACTAAAGATTTTTCCCACCCACTAATCCTACAGAAGAGTTCATTTGAAATGAAAGGTCGGAGAGCAGGATATTCAGGATGACCTGCTGCTTTCTCAATACTGCCAGCATTATTGGAATAAACGCTTACTAGTATATATGATTTAATCTTGTCTCTGCTTAATTTGGCTCAAGTAGTGACAGTCGGCCTTGGACCCATTTAGTGTCTAGTAGTTACATTTCATTTCAATTAAAATAAGTGGGATTTCTGAAGATATTTAATATAAGAGAAAGGGTTAAATCTTTTATAATCAATCATGTCTTACAGCTTGGGCAGGCTGACCTGGGATTGGTTTACATTTTGCTATATAAATTCCTGGTAGTATTGTTTTGATTTCTTTCTCTCCTTTAATTAGGCAGTATGACTGGTATTATTCACATATCCACAGGTAAAAAAAAAAAAAAAAAGATGATAATCAGGAATAAGAACTACAACAGGGCCCTTGCCAGTTTGGCTCAGAGTGGATAGAGAGCATCAGTTTGCTGACCAAAGGGGCCCGGGTTCGATTCTGGTCAAGGGCACGTACCTCGGTTGCACGTACCTCAGTTGCAGGCTCCTCCCCTGCCCTGGCCCTGATCAGGGCTCATGCAGGAGGCAACCAATTGATGTGTTTCTCTCACATCAGTGTTTCTCTCTGTCTTTCCCTCTCTCTCCCACTCTCCCTAAAAATCAATGGGAAAATATCCTTGGGTGCGGATTAAAAAAAAAAAAAAGAAGCTGATTGAAATTGACATTTAACAAATATGACATTGCATATCAATGATGGAAAACATAATTTTGAATAAAATTGTCTATAGTAATAGAATAACCATATGGAAAAACTACTGAACCTCTATCTTAAAGCATGGACAAAACTTGTTTTATTAAATATCTACTTATAAATGTCAAAAATATAAAATATTTAAAAAGCAATATGGAAATATACCTATTAGTTTGGGCATGAAAACATTTTCAAGACAAATATAAATCACAAAGGAAAAGAATGATAAACTTGAGGATATTAAAGTTAAGAAATCCTGCTAATTAAACTACACCATAAATCAAGTGGAAATAAAAGCCACACACTAATAAAGTTCCATCCCATATAACTGACAAAAATTTAGTGATCCTAATAAATGAATAATGTCAGTTAGTCTATAATAAAAAAAAAAATCACACAATCTAAGGGGAGAATAGGCAAAGACTTGAATTTTACAGTACATGAAACAAGAATGGTCAGTAAACATATGAAAAGAATTATCACCTCCTTAGTAATGAGAGAAATGCAAATTAAACCACAGGGGACCATTTCCCAGGCAGCAGATTGGCAAAGACTAAATCTCTGAACTATCAGCTATATGAAAGGATGCTGAATTTGGATAACAAATTGTCATTATGTAGTAAAGTTGAAGAGGAACAAGTCCTATGAGCTAACAATTCTACGTAGTGACACTGTTCTACACCTCACCTCCCCACCCCCAGGCAAGTAGGAGAATGCTCATAATTATAGAATTTGTCAGAAACATTGACAACAATGGGAACTGGTAACCATACCAACTGGTAACAATAGAGTGAATATAATCAACTTTACGTGTTCCCAAAATTGTAATATAGCCTTGAAAATGAATGATGTGGGGTTCCATATATTGCATTTTCTAGGTACATTTTGAGTGAACAAATGAAGTCACTGGGGAAAAATACTTTTATTATCATTTGAATTATTGTAAGTTCCACAAGCAAAGGAAAACAAACTGTGATTGTGTGCACGTAGTTAATGTTTCTATAGGACTCCCCACACAGATGTGTAACTGCTGAGCAAACTTTTGTAAATACAACTGAATTGCTCTTCCAAAAGGCTTTGGCAATGTTCATTCCCAAACTAATG